AACGTCCCTTACCTGGAGCAGGGCACCATGTCCTACCTGGCTCAGCATCACCTCCAAACTCTGGATCTTGAGTAATGTGGATCCCCTTCCTTAGGAAGTTCAGGAAAGACAAAGGAACCACAGTATTTTGGGATAGAAAGTAGAACTGTCGCTAAATGCTAMGAAAAACTACAAAGGCAGCAAAATCTCATAGTTTCTAAATTCCTYGCTCCCTAGAGAGTTCACGAATAAGCAAAAAAATATAGAGAAACATTTCAAAACATCTTTGCTGATCAAGCAGGACTTTATTTTTTCACAGCAGATCCTCAGTATCGGCAGGCAATAAATTCCTTCCAGCAGTAAAGACAGAAACGCGCTTCTCCAATACTCGGAGGTATTCAGGAACATTTCATGAACACGACTGCACAGTGACAAAAAGGAAGGAACGGCCTCTCGAAACACTGATCTGCAGACACAAACTGCCTACCTGAAACAGCTTTAATGATRCCAATAACCTGCTAAGACCTAGAGAATGATCCCTGCACCAACAGTCTGACATCCTCCTCTAGCAACAGTGCATCTTCTGCTGGTTCGGCTATGCAGCATTCTGACTAGCCGCTCAGCCCAACATCTAGGAATAACTCATCAACCCCACTTTTAAGGGCACCATCAGAGCAAGCAAAGGCAGCTCTTAAAATTGCCAAGTCTTATGTGGATTTCCTCACAGTTGAAGTAAACCCTTTCATTTTCAATCTAATATCTTTGGAATCTCAATCCAATATCCATAGGATATTCTTTAGAGGATGAGCTGGGAATCTTTGAGGGCTGACTCCTCTCTTGTAAAGGGGGCTCGGGATCACCCCAGCATCGGTGCCTACCCCTCTCTAAGCACTACAGTGGATGCCAGCGTAGAAGTGTTACATGGAATTGAAGACAACCCACTTTTAATCCTAGGATTGCTTCTATCCACAATTTTGTTTAGCATTCGAAGGCTACATGGCTTTCTGTAGCATGTCCACATGATCAGGGACAGTAATACAGGGGTTTTTTTTCAGTGCAAACAGCATCTCTGATGGGGTAGCAATTGTACTACATTAGAATCCTTACAGCATTACCCTGACCTAACAGAAACTAAATTATTTTGCAAAGAAATAAAAATGGAAGTAAATAACACCAGCTAATGACCAGTGTACATTTGTGCTGAGCTGAGAAAGATCCTTAGTTTGACAACAGTTTCTCTAATAAACCCTTTTACAGTTTTCCAGCCTGAAATGATGTTACAAACCGTGATGAGAATGGAAACCACCAAATTCTTTGAGTAGCTTTGTGATTATCTTTCATTAATGACACAGCTCCCTGGCCAGCATCTACACGGAGCAGCTAAGGACCAGCCTTGGGGACAGCGCTGCTGCCAAGAGCTTCCTCCTGCCGAGGCTACAGGCGCTCCAGGTTGAGGAGGGCCCTCCCAAACAGAGCGCGGTTTGAGGCTCCAGAGCTGCCCGTGGGGCGGAGCGGAGCATGCGRCAGGACAGCCAAGCACTCAGCACCAGATACAGCTCCAGTTTCGGAATATAAACCAACTTGTGAAATTTGGCCCTTSCGCAGAAAGTCCCTTCCAGCTGGGGAAACGTTAAAACATCCAAACAACTCATTTCAGCAACATTGGAATATTTGCTTTTAAAGATGGATTATAAGGAGACATACTACATAAGATACAGAAGTGGTAACTATTCCAGTGAAAACAATACCTAAACGCGCGGTTTCCAAATAATATATTGTTAAGTTTAAGAAGTTTATTAGCATTTGCTAGCTTTTCAAATACGCTTCAGAGATCAACATCATTCTGCCATGACAGATATTAAATACTCGCCGCTGGGCAGCCCGGCCTGGAAGGGCCTCCAGCTGCAGCAACATCCTTCCCTCAGGCCTCAAAAGCCCTCACAGGAAATCAGGCCACTCCGCTGCGGCACCACAGGCCTGAAAGGTTCGCTCCGTTTCTTTTTAATACATTGTTCTCACTACACGTAAATCCGAGGAGAAAGCGAACCATCTCAAAACGCAGTCATCTTTATACCTTCAGAGACTTACAATTTTAAGTCAAGTCATCCTGTTTCAAGTACCAATTTACTCAGCCAAGACTGGCGATCACGCGCAGCTCACTTTAAATGAAAATCTTAATCACTTGTCAAAGCATTAATAACACTGGCCAGGAATAAGTTTAAACGTGATTAGTCTTAACGTGTGTGCATCCAGAAGCCTGTACAGCTAAATATTAAAATATCATCCTTAAAGRACAGAAATTAACTGACTTGGTGTGAACAATACAGGAAATACGACGCTTTAAACAGGTTTTGTACAAGATGACGGTGTTTAATTTTGAAGCAAGGARCACCACAAAATGAGGAGCTGGAGCTGATGGGGAAGAAAGCAGCCAGCCCTGAGCGCGCGTCACGAGCGCGGCAGCACAGGGCAACGCTCAGCGATGCAGGCCCCGGCAGGCTCGGCTCAAACGTGTTTCACATGCAAGGTTGCAGCGGTGCTCGGCTGCGCGACCTCCCGCAGACGCTCGGGTAGGGATGCAAACAAGAGCGCAGAGCAGCACAGGGACCGGAGCACAGGGAAGGGAACAAGTTCCAGCGAAGGGAACAAGGTTTTGAAAGAGATTCTTCTCCAAATCGGATACACATTTGGTAGGGGGGGGACTAAATATTAAGAAGCATCTTTTCTTTAAATGGTACGGAAAATCTCCACATAGTTCCTAGTTCATTAACAGCCTCTCAGGCTGTTTCCTCATGAGACATCAGCTTCACTTCCCGCAATCATTTTTGTGAACATAACCCCTACATGCTATGGAGAAAGAGCCCACTGCAGCCAACTGGGAAATCCATGCAGGAGCCCTGTGCTCCCAGAGCAGCTCTCCCAGCAACTCCCCTGGCTAACGGGAGGGCAGCCCTGGCCTAGCGACCCCAGAGCTGCGGACACAGGGGCAGCCCAGCCGGCAACCGCGGCCACCAGTGCCCAGCCACGGCGCTCGCCGACACGCCGCACAGTCCACACACACAACGGTTCACATTAACCTGGTTCTACGCCTCTTCTGTGCAAGTCTGCAACATTTTTTCCTGTTTTTTTCTATTAATATTGACATAAAGAAGTATCTTGATGACTGAGTCATGTAGAACATGCAGGCCTTAATCATGCAAGTCGGAACCCATGGTCATGGTTTTCGCAAAGGAATTTTTTAAGCCTGTTAAAATTCCCATTTGCAATAAGCCATTGAAAAGGGAGGGCTCCCTCTGAGCTCCACAATACTGCTTTGGCTCTCCCTCCAAAAACAAGACCCAGAATTTATAGACATTCATCACCAACATGAAGGAAAAAAGAAGTTTGCTTTTTTTTAATGTGAATGTTTTAGGACCTAGATAATCTAGCAATGAGCACTCTGGTCATGACACAAAGTTTGGAGAGGCAATTTTGTGTACRCGTGGACTGTTGAAGCGGGCTGAACTTTCAGGAACACTGGGAGCAGGAGCGCGGGGCAGAGAGCGGGAGCCGGCGTGGGACAGGCGGGAAGCGCTCCAGCAGCAGCAGCAGCCTCCACCACGAACCTTCTGCTTCGCTCCTGCTTTCCGGCAGCGGTACCAAAGCAGGGCACTGCAGATATATACAAGGATATAACAACTGGCAAACTGCAACTTGGCTCCACTGGCACTAAGATTTCAAGTTAGATTGCTCCACAAATTTGCCTTCCCTCCCTCTCATCTTGCAATAAACAGGTCTCCTTTCTCAAAAATTTAGAAGGAGCCCACGGGTCAGTTGGTGTCTGTCAAAGTACCTGTTTTATCCAAGTGGGTGACCCACTCCAAAGGCAAATACTCGTCAGAAAAATTTATGAGCCCTTCTAGAGCCTGAACATCCCTGTCCTACAGACTAGGCCCACTGGTAGGCCTTTTATTCAAGGAAATCAAGAAATATAAATTTGTTACATGTCAACATATTAACATGTTAACATGTCAAACAAATCTGATTCACAGTGAGCCAATCATTGTCACCACTACTAAAAACAAAATTAATCTGTATCTTTGGCAACACTGACCTAGATAAGAAACTCCTGGAAACACTACACAAGTGACAGGGGAACTGAGGCATCAACACCCAGCATTTTCTGTTCTAGACACAGACCACCAGAGAACTGTTCTCTCGTCCTTCAGACATCTCCACAGCGCTGCAAATGGTAGGAAAACCCTCCCATTTCTCAGCTTCCTCGCAGCGTCTCATCTGCAGGCACTTTCACGCTGCACAGCTTCAAGCAGTCTACAGCAAAAGCGGAATAACTGCCTCTAAGAAATARAACACCAGCAGCCCAGTATCCTCTCACTACGTTTTGTGGCCAGGCTGTCGGGACCAGACGGGCCCTGATGCCGCAAACGAACCAACCAACAAATGTTTCTTTGGACAAATGACTGTATGGAGCAGTGTCCGCGGGGCTGGCGCGCTGGGAAGCGCGGCCGCACGTGCCAGTTCCGCACGTGCCAGCTCCCCGYGCTCCTCCTGCCACCCAGGAGCGCGCCCGGGAGCGCGAGGCAGAGCCGCGCGTTGCTGCCGCAGGATGCAGGCGATGGCGCTGGGCAGCACGGCGCTGGCTAGGAGCAATCCGCCTGCCATCAACAACCGCTGCTTTCACCTCCGAGGTTCGCTAGGTAGTTTTTCCACCCACTGATCCTGTTTCGCTCCGTTTTTCCAGCTGCGTGCAGCAAAGGCCTCTGACAGCAACGCTCTCATCTCCAGASGGTGCCCAGTCAAACGGCCCGGGCTCGGGCGCAGGGCCGGGGCCGCCACCGCGCGGGGACCGCGGTCCGGGCAGCTCAAGCCCCGCTCCGCCTCACACCTTAAATGAAGSCGCATCCTCAGGGGCCCGAAGAGGGCGCCGGGTCATCACGAGGCGCGCGGGAACGTGCGGCTGCCCCCGCCGGCCCCGCTCCCGGCGCCCCGGCCCCGCTCGCGGCCCCCGGCCCCGCGCTCACCGTCGATGTTCTCGCGGTCGCTGATGTGCTGCAGGTTGCAGCCCGTGTCGTCGCGGCTCAGCTCGGCCTCGGCGCGGTAGGACTCGAGGCGGGAGTGGGCATTGCGGCGCAGCTTGGGGCTGGACGACACGCAGCACGAGGTGGCGTTGCCCATCGCGGCTGCCCGGCGCGGCGGGACGCGAGCGGCGGCCGCTCAGCGGGCGGCCATGGGCGGCGAGGAGCGGCGGCTGCGGCGCGGGGAGAGGCGGCAGGGGGAGCGCGGCT